GAACTGTGACACATGGGGAATAGGACTTGTCAGTGTCTGCTGCTCCTGTCTCCCTATGGTCTGTTAGCCAGACCAGGAAATCCTATTTTTATCTGGAGGGAAGATGAATCACACGTTCCACAAAACGGGGTGGATTCTCTCTTGCTGAGAGATTCTTAGATTCTGCACCACATTCTAAATGTGTCAAACAATGGAAAGGCATTGTAATTTCATGGCACTCCAGGTCTTTTGAACTGATAGCTGAGGACACTGAAGGGAACCTTATACTGACGAGGCTTCCAGCACATTTCCTATCAACAATTAATCTATTTCATCATTACATTGTGTTTGATGACCTGGCAGACCCATAAGGGATCAGATGTGTGTTATATATGAGGGATGATTCCCATTTCTGACTATTTCTTATAACTGAATAAATAATGAAGTTAATTCTGACTCATCAGGGATAAATTCAGCTCCCTGTCAAGGTTCACTTTCTGCCCATAATTTGTCAATTTTATCTATAGTTAAGGGTACTACAATTTCTGCTGGGTCTAATTGACAAAGTTTTAATTTTTCTTTTAAAATCAAATCAGAAATCTTTTCCCCATATGTCCTTGATTTCTTATTCTGTTCATGTAGTGGAAATATCCATTCTAGTATCTTCAGTCTGCATTAAAATTCCTGCAGGAGAATGTGTAGATGGTAAAACAGCCAGAATTCAATCAAGCTCTGGATCCAAAGATCCAAATGTGCATCCTGTAATTTCTTTTCTACCAAAGCCAATTCTCTCTCATCTTTAGCTGGTAATTCTCTTGGACTATTTAAGTCCTTGTCACCATCTAAGGTTTTGAACAAATTACTCAGTTCATGATTTTTTTTACCCTAATAGCGGGCTGTAGATTGGGAATGTCTCCTAGGCAATCTTTGAAAGTCATTAAAAGTCCATAATGGATCTCTCCTAATTTGCACCTTTTGGGGTCTAACTTTTTGGAGATCTATTTTATATCCTAACTAATTAATGGAATCTCACTTTTCTATTTCTTCAGGAGCAATTTGTCCCCAACAAGGCAAAATTTATCTTTACTTCTTCAAACATATTTTTCTAAAGTATCTACATTTCAATCAGCTTATGAGATGTTATCCATGTAATGGTAAACTATAGATTTAGGGAATTACTTATATATCATTTCCAGTGGCAGTCATACAAAATATTGGCACAGGGTGGAGCTATTTAATATTCCCTGTTGCAGAAAGTTCCATTGATATCTCTCTCTCTTTTTTTAAAAAAGATTTATTTGTTTATGTATATAGTGTTCTGCTTGCATGTGTCCCTTCAGGCCAGAAGAGGGCACCAGACCTCATTACAGATGGTTGTGAGCCACCATGTGGTTGCTGGGAATTGAACTCAGGACCTCTGGAAGAAGAGCCAGTGCTCTTAACCTCTGAGCCGTCTCTCCAGCCCCATTGATATCTCTTAACAGGCTGAGAATTATAAGTAGGCACCATGAAGGCAAATTTTCCTGTCTTTTTCTTGTAAAGGTATAGTGAAGAAACAGTCTTTTAAGTTGATAACATTAAGAGGTCATGCTTTAGGTAACAGAGAAGGCAAAGGAATTCAAGATTGTAGAGAGCTCACTGGCTGAATCACCTTTTTAACAGCTCTTAGGTGTTACCATTCTCCATTTTCCAGATTTCTTTTTAATAACAAATACAGGAGAATTCCAAGGGCTGGTTGATTCTTCGATATGCTGAGCATTTAGCTGTTCCTGTGCCAGCATTCGAAGTCCTACAATTTCTCTGACGTTAAAGGCGATTGCTCAACCCATACAGGCTTGTCTGTTAACCATTTTAAAGGTAGAGCTGTTGGTGCCTTTGGAAGATCATCAGCTGTTGTGTTCTTGTACAACCTGAATGGTCAGTGACTGTTCTTTATTATACCTTCTAATACTTCCCCCAGAAACATAAGTTAGTTTTGTTTTTTTTTTCTTTTTCTTTTTTTTTCTGAGATTGGAGGAATGTTAATCTGGGTATTCCACTGCTGTAACAAATCATGTTCCCATAAATTCTTTGCTATGTCAGCCACATATGGCTTCAATTTTCCCATCTGTCCTGGCTCTATACATTGAACCCATTTCATGCTCTGTTTTACCTGAGATTATGTCCCAATGCTTAAAAGCTAAACATTTATCTCCTGAAAAGGCCAATTTGGATGCCAAGATTCTGGGGCAATTATTGTTACATCCACACCTGTGTCTATAACTTATTCATCTTTTAAATTTTTGTCTTTGTTCATTTATAGAAGTTTGCCAAAATAGTTGCTTTATTGTTTCTCCCAAATTTTTTGTTCTCTTTTTTATAGCTGTTCTATCACCCAGAGCAGTGTGGTTTTTCTTTTCTTTTCTTTTTTTTTTACAATAGGCATTAGGTTGTTTAATTGCTCTGGGAAGGAGTTTCTTCTACAGTGACAGGAAAAGGACTGAACGGGATTTGACATGGGGGCCTGCCAGAAGCAACTCAAGGCTGCCTCTGCCCTCTGATCTTCAGACAACCTTTGTTAAGAGTACAAATAAAATATCACCACAGAACTACACGCTAGTTCAAACAACCATGACGTCCCTGGCTTTGAATTTCGTCCTCTTAACAAAGCTAATCCCGGAGCTGAGATGTCAATGTCTGATTGTGTAAGGAGTCCTCAGCAAAGTGGTAGATAATATATGACAGAGGCTCTGCCACGGGTCCAGTCAGCACAGCAGGATGAACTATGGCACTCATTTAAACTAAGTTGCTTGTGTGATGTGTGGACCCACACATCAGGTAAAGAAAGCAATATGGCCTGAGGAGGAGGTGAGGTGGACTGTGAAAGTTCGCCCAAAGCAGTCATTCTGAGTTACCTTCCAGAGACATCTGGGACCAGTGCCTATGATGTGGAGCAATCTTTTTGTACAATATGAATATGTATTACTCTAATAGTTAATAAAAAGCTGATTGGCCAATGGCTAGGCAGGATTTTACGGGCAGAGAGAATGCTGGAAAGAAGAGCAGATGAGGAGTTGCCAGCAGCTGCAGAGAGAAACAAGATGAACATGTCGTATCGTAAGACGGTCTCCCCACGTGGCAGAGGGTAGAGAAGAAATATGGGTCCATATAAAATGTAAGAACTAGCTAACAATGAGGCTAAGCTGTTGGCTGAGCACTTATAATTAATATTAAGCCTTCATTTTGGTTATTTTAGAGTGGCTGCCAGGATAAAGACTCTGCCAACAAATGGAAGTCCAATGTGGTGTACCTATATCCACACAAGACCCGAGAAAGCTTGAAAAAGTTTCTAAACACACAAAAATGGAGCTGAACATGGCTTCCTCGTCTTGTGTCTCCAGGTGGGCTGCAGTACAGAGACTCTTCTCCTGGCAAGTGCCTGAACACTTGAGCTGCCAGCCCGAGTCCCACCAGAGCGCTGCGTGGCAGGTTTGGGTTTTTGCTCACACAGACAGAAGAGGTTACAGATGCTCAGTAAAGACAGATCCAGATGGAAAAAAGAAACCACAAGATCTCTTCATCCAACTGGACGCACACACGGTAATATTAGCCATAGTGCTTCCCATAGGGCTAGCACCAGTGGCCAACCTAACTACATCTGAAAGAAAAAATTTCACTAGCTCTGATGTATCTGGGAACATCAGGATTACACATAAAAGTTTATAATTTCTCTAACAAGTTGTACTGGGAATATGTCCAAGTAAGTCCAAATAACAGTTAGGCCCAATATATGCTAAATACATTAACTTGAAAAAAAAAAAAGAACACAAAATAAAACCCAAAAAGCCATGGACCTTACAACACACTGAAAGACCTAAATCTACTAACTGCTATGAGTCACACAATCACTGTAGCCATAACTGGTTTGATAGGCAACCCTGAAGCAACAATGTAAGGCCTTGTAGCTCGATGTCAGGGACCAAACATGGACCATGGAAAAGTACTAGCTAGGCCAGAGAACAAGCCCCTGCCCTAAACCAGATGCCCCCAAAGATCAAGATCAGGTCAGGCAGGTCAGGTAGCATAGCAACAGAACAATGGGCCCTGACCAGTGACCTTACCACCTAGAAGCCTCACGACTTGCACGTAGTCCTTCACCAGCACTCGTGCACCCCTTCCCTCCTTCCTGCCCCCTCTCATGCTATATAAGCCTTGCTTAGGAGAATAAAATTTGCAGCTTGATCAGAACACTGTCTTGCTGTCTTCTCTCGTGTCTCCCCCGTCCCTTTCATTCTCTCCCGCAGGTGGGTCGCCCCCGTTGACACCCCGCTGGCCGGGACAGCTCATCATGTCTTACTCTTCCTAGGTCTAATGGTTGGGCCCTGCTGACCTAACTAATGGTAAAACTGCTGAAAAAAAACAAACAGCATGTGTTAAATCAGTGTACCTAATGGCCCAAGTCAATCCCTTTATACAATATATTAATGCTTTAACTCTTCCCTAACATGAGCGGGAAATGGACTGTCCAAAGGGACTCAGATTGTCTGAGTTTTATCCAGCTGCTCCCCATGGCCTAGCTGTTCTAATCACCAGAACGGAAACTGCATAGCCTCTGCCCCTCCTGCCTCTCTGAGACGGAACTGTGAAGTAGGCTTTATAAACCCAATCACGCTCACTTCGGTGTAGAGATCTTTCTGGCATGAGTCCGCTCACAACCTCTGCAAATAAATGACTCTCAGTCTGACCAGCACTGAGTTCTCTTTCCCTGAGTCTTACTCTACAATGGAGAATGAACAAAGAGAAAAACCTTGGAAGTCACTGTCAATAGAAGCACAGCTAGTGAGTAATACTTGGGGAAATACAAAGCTTAAGAGACATAAACCATCATAAACTTCTGAGAGATGAGCTTCGACAACAAAGACATGAAGGACAGACCTAAAGAATGACTCCCACAGTGTCATGTTCCAGGGTGATGGGAAAGCCTGCCTTTCTGGGGGATATTTGGACCTCAACCCTGTCCCAAACCCCTCATTCCTACACACCTGGCTGCATGTTGGCTGCTGCTTGTCTCTTCACATCTGAAGATTCTTGTCTTTGCTCCAAAAGTGTCACCAGGTGTGGCTTAGACTCAGCAAGACCTGTTTGCAGAAAAAAGGAAACGATTATTTATGTGTTTACTTGGAATTGGCATGCGCCTTCCAGTACATGGCTTATAAGGAAAGAGATGATGAAATAAATGGTTGCAGACAATCAGTTTCTTAAAAGTTTTCTGACAGAATCACTACACTACATAAAGGAATTTACAACATTCAGATTCTGAGTTTCATTTAAAGGAAAAAAACATTAAAAGTGAGTTATGAAACACTTTCATTAACAAGTATACTCCATGTTTCATGCCATTGAATTTCTAACAGTCCCACTAGAGTGAAGGAAACATACATCCAACACAGAAAGGATAAACACAAAAAGAGAAAAACAGTGAAATGATTCTTTTAATAATTTATTTTTATTTTTTAAGTGTATGGGTGTTTTGTATGTATATATGTCTGTGTGAGTGTGTAAGATCTTGAAATTACAGACAGTTGTGAGCTGCCATGTGTGGGTGCTGGGAATTGAACCCTGGTCCTCTAGAAGAGCAGTCAGTGCTGCTAAGTACCCAGACATCTCTCCAGCACCGAAATCATTCTTAATACAGCACTCTCCATAATTCTTCTGAAAACAAAGGATATGAAAATGGTGTTGAAATGCTCCCATGAGATACCATACAAAGTGAGGAAGCTACATGTTGATGGTGAAATAAGAATTCACTATGGATGAGAGCCTCACCAAGGAACACAAGGTTGCTATAATTCTCCAACATCACATCCCTGTACAAATTCCACTGAGCAGGCTCCAGGCATTTCCTCTCTTCTGCAGAGAAATCAATGGCCACATCCCAGAAGGACAGTATTTCCTGAAACAAAGATTAATGAATGACATCACACTTTTAGTTAATTAAAAGCACTAATGATAATATAAATACCATGATGCATTGGGTGGACAGTTCTGTCAACTTGACATTAGCTAGGCTCATTTGAGATGAGAGAAACATAAAAGAGAAAATGCCTCCCTAAGACTGTCCTGTAGCCAAGCCTAATGGGCATTTTCTTAATTACTGATTGATAATGACATAGCACAGCCCGTTATGGGTGGTGCACACCCTGGGGATGCTTTTCTATGTGGTGTAGGAAAGCAGGCTGGGCAAGTCAGTAAGCAGTGTTCTTCTGTGGCCTCTGCTCCAGCTCTTGCCTCAGGTTCCTGCCTTGACTTCCCTCAGTGATGGACTGTGATCTGAAGTTGTAGTCTAAATAAACCCTTTCTTCTCCAAGATGTCTTTCATCATGGTCTTCATCACAGCAATAGAAACCCTAACACAGGCATCATGTGTCTGTGGATACAAATCTACATTTTGCCCAGAATGAAAGAAGCTACAAATGTTTCTTACACAGGTGGGTAATATTCCTCAGACATGTCTGAGGTGGTCATATGATTTCACATTGGACCCATCTTCATGGAAAGACAAGGTAAAAAATCCTATAAGCCCAGTTGGACACAATCCAATTAAGACAGATAAAATGTAAAATAAACACATCCACAGAACATGCATATGTTATATGTATACACACACACACACACACACACACACACACACACACACATTTCTCACAGGGGAAGAAGGAATTTCTCAACAGTTGATAAGCACAGTCACGAATGTGAAGTGAAATGAAAATACAGAGTCTGATGCAGCAGCTCGGGCCATCATCTGGGTTTCAGGATTTCTACAGATTCACTGATGATGCAAATGATGGTGACAAGGGACGTGAGAAGGAGCAGGCAGGGGCAGAACTCACAGACTGAATGTCATTTAAGTATCTGATCATGTGAGAAAACAGGCAAGTACAGGACTAACAACTCTGTTGAGATTTAACATAGAATACACATCACTGGATCTTTTTGTCGTTTTCCCTTGCTGTCTTTTCTCTGACAGGTATTGACTGAAGTGTTTGTGATATTCTTAGAGCATGTTTTGCACATATGACACCTGTGCATCTCTGTGCAGTAGCTGAGAAATACAACTGTTGATGCTATTTATTGTTTAAAAATTTTTTTTCATATTTTATTGAGTAAAGTCCCAGAATGACTTATGAGAATAGTCACAGGGTATTTTTCCTTTTTACCAGTACATGAAATATCAGTAATTTATGTACATGAGGTATTTTGTAATAATTTCCTGGTTAAGCTTTGGATACTCTTTCTTAGTTATGGTATGGTGTTGTGGAATATTATTTTAAGATGGTTACATTTATGCTGTGGAACATTTGTTTAATGATGTAAGGATATATTGTATTCTTTTATGTTTCATTTTTTTAACCCTGTAAAGCTGAGTTCCCTGGCCTGTCTAAAACATCTGATGGTCTAATAAAGAGCTGAATATGGCCAAGGGCAAGGCAGGAAGAGGATAGATATGTGGGGCTGAGAGGCAGAGAGAACAAACAGAAGCAGAAAAAGGAGAAAGACCAAGAGAACAAAGAGAGGAGGAATGCTGGGGCCAGCCCCACAGCCAGCCATGGAGGAAGAGTGAACGTGAGATACCCAGAAGTAAGAGAAAGGGAAAAGCCCAGAGGCAAAAGGTAGATGGGATAATGTAAGTTAAGGAAAGCTGGCTAGGAAAGTGAAGCTAAGCTTAGGCTGAGAAATCATAAGTAACACTAAGCCCGTGTGTGATTTATTTGGGACCTTTGGCAGGCCCCCCAAAAGAGCAAGACTGAAAGAAGCAAAAACATCCAACAGTATGGTCAGCTCCTTAAACATTATCTTCCAGGCTTCTGAAATGTACCCTACATAAAGTTTACAGACACCCAGCATTCAGGACAACAGTACTGGGGGCTTCTCCCTCCTATCACAGTACAGTGTCCCAGAGCATTCACTGTTCGGGAAGTGTAGCTGGTATTTTTCTATGGGACACAAACCAGCTCCCAAATAATGACACTGCGACTTCTTATTAATTATGAAAGCTTGGCCTTCAGCATATGATGGTCCCACTATCTCATAACTTAATTTACCCTATTTCTATCCATTTATATTCTGCCTCAGGGCTTTTACTTTTCTTTCATTCTGTATGTCCTGCTTTCCTGCTTCCTCCATGTCTGTCTGTCTGGCCCTTGACATCTCTTTGTCTCTGTCTCCCAGATTCCTCCTCTTATTTACTGTCTCTGCCTGGAAGTCTCACCTGTATTCCCTGCCTAGCTTTTAACCATTTAGCTTTCTATTAGACTAATCAGGTGCCTTAGGCAGACAAGGTAAACAAATGCAACACATCTTTACATAGCAAAACTAATACTCCACAACAAGGAAGTCCCCAAGTATTGTCTTCCTGAGGTCACTGGTCAATGGAAAAAACTTACATCTCCAACTCCTATGCATCAGGACTTAAAAATCTCTATCTTACATGCGTTACAATTCATTACATTTAACATACTGAGGAGATCATGTGTTATTTACCTTTATCTGCCTGAAATAACTTTCAGTTTCACCAATATTGTCACAATTAGCAAGAATGTACTTTTTCTCTGAAAAATTATTAAATTAAAAGTATGTTATTTTCTCCTCTATCTCCTCATTGCAAGTTCTCTCATGTCCCCCATGATTCCAATTCGAATACATGGTGTATTCTTCCCTGATTATTATTCTTATATACATACACACAGCACACACACACACATATATATGCATAACTGTATAAATATGAATGGCTGATTCTGTTCACTGTTGACTATGTGTATGTTTAAGGACTGACCACTTGTTACTGGATGAACAGTGAGTGCTCTCAACCCTGGGGAAGACTAATTCTCCCTCTCTTTGCAATTCTCAGGTGCCTACATTTTGATGCTTACCCAGCAGACTGCCCCCTGCAGGGGATCTTCTGCCATTGGCATTGTTCAGGGCTTGATCAGGCAGCCATGTTGTTGGGGCATCATGGATGCAGCTTCCCTTCCCTTTCTAGAAGGCACAGCCTCACAGCTGACTTCCTGGACCTCTGGCTCTCATAATCAATATGCCCCCTCTGCAGAGATATTCCCTGAGCCTCATGTGCAGGAACTGTGGTGCAGGTTTTGGGTCACAGCACCTCAGACAGTAGTTCTGTGCACTTTGTAACTTTTAGTTTTCTGGAATGTTCTCTGTGCTGCAGTGAGAAGCACCTTTGAGGAGCAGTGACAGGGACACTCCAGTGTGGGTCTAAGGAGAAGTACTTGGAGTGCAGTTAGGGATTATGACGGTTTGGTGGCCTTAGTATTTTCTCCTCCATGATTTAAGACCTAAGAAGTCATCAGAGGCAGCTCCAAGCATTCTGTAGGTCTCCTGTGCCCTCTATGTCCCACTGACAGCTGCTGCTAATGCAAAGGTGTGAGAGGCGCTGTGGCACCTTTAGGGATATCATGCCACACTGGTCATTGTTGTGGTTCATGGTTGTAACATCTAAGCAGGACTATTTGTTGCTTCTCTCCCTTGGAGCTTGCAAAGCACCTTCCAGCACTGAGCAAACTTAGACAGGAGACCTTCAGGTGAGATCCAGCTCCAATCCCCTCACTCTTGTGTGTGAAAGGCATGAAGTTTTGATCACTGGGAAAGGGGAGTAGCGTATCATCACAAGACTTTAGGGACAACTGAAACATAACCTCCATGAAGAATGACGACTTAGAGAAACGTCTTTAAATAAAGTGCAGAGCTGAAGAGTAATGAGGAGGCCTGCAGATCTTCAAGAAACAGGCAGAATGTAACAATATGGTGAATAGAACACCCAGTAATTTCTCAAGGGAAAAGGAATTGAACTGTATTGGAAGCTTCTTCTCAGCTAGCATAGAATGTTATCACCTTTAGAAGTAAGTGGAAAAAAGAGATCCCATTCTTTTATCACTAGGGCACTGGTTCTCAACATGTGGGTCATGAAACCTTTGGCAAAACTTCATCTCCAAAAGTGTTTATACATTACAATAAATAACCTTTGCAAAATTAGTTATGAAGTAGCAAGAAAAAATAATTTTAAGGTTGAGGGTCACCACAGTATGACAAACTATGTTAAAGGGTCACAGCGTTAGGAAAGGTGAGACTGTAGAACTACACACATCACCAAGAAGAGGGGAAATTACCAGGGTGCAGTAGGGCAAGAGCCCAGAGAATATAAAGATGGAAACATGAACCTCTGAAAGAACTTAAGCAGGTCCTCAAAGCAAAATTAAATGTAAGGATCACTCCCCACATTGCCCAGCACAGCACAGCACCATTCTATATGCAGAAGTGTCTGCTGTCCTGGGACAGCACCTCTGTGATGTGGTGGGCAGTGTGCCTGGAAAGATGATTGTATTTAGGAGGAATTTTACCCAATACTATTAATGGCAAACATTTCAGGGGCATTTGAAACGGGCAAATCTCACTTTTAGTGGAGGAAAAAAAATGCAAATAATGTCTGGCCTGAGGGGCACAATGGCACTCATTAAATATTGTTGCACATTCTTTCTGTATATAATTGGAAGTTAGATATAGTACTCCACTTGAACAGTGGCTGGTCCTAGAAGTGAGCCTAGAACAAAATGGACAAAGTAGATGTCATAAGAACTCTTGCATCTCCTGTCAGTGTCCCAAGGAGATAGGGTTTAGAGAATCAACAAAATGAAGAAGACCAGGAGATTGGTGGGAGGTAAAATGATATGCAAAGAGAGAACTGTATTTCTGGTTAGGATCTAAAATATAGTGACCCTCCATTGGAAATCGCCGATCTACTGATTACATAACATAGTGCTTTAAATACACAGCACACACATCATGAAGTAGCAACTACAGGATCTTTGTCCCAGGGCTTCACTCACACAACTGTGCCATGAAACAGCCACTACTTTTTGCTTAAAGCCAGCAAGT